AAGGAGGGTGAGTGATTAAGTAGGGGCTGTAGCTCACATCTGGCTGAACAAATTTCGTTATACACTGGAAGGGGAGGAATGTGTGAGAGAGAGAGAGGGAGAGGGAGGGGCAGAGGCAGAGGTAGCAGAAATCAGCTAAAATGAAATAACAAAAGCAAAGCATCAGCGTACAAAACGTGTAGGGTATAAGTGAGCTGGGCTTTGGTAGGGAGGCGTAGGGTATGTGGAGCTGGCCAAATGGGGCAGGCGAGTGGAGCAGCGGCAGCTCGGCTACGTGATTTGTTTGCCAAATTGTGGCAAATGTGTGTGTGGCGCATTCTCTTCGTGCGAGTGTGCCTGCGTGTGTGTGTGTGTGTATGTGCCGCTAATTGAGTTGTTGCTGACACACACACACGCACACACACACACACACGAAGATACACATTCCCCAAGCAGTCACGCCCAATGCTCCATGGCCGTTCGCCTCGTCCGCTGGCTTCCGCCTTTTGGTTTATTGAGTTTGCATGACCCTAATTTAAAGATGATTTAAAATTCCCGCAGCGAAATTAACCAAACGTCCGATCAGCTCAGCTGCTGCAATTGACTTCACCTTCACTGCCCCCCCTCCGCCTGGCTGCTGAGTGGGAGGGACGGGCGTGGGGGTTCGCTTTGCGATTTATTGTGCGCTCGCTAATGCGGCGCATTTATCATGCAGCTGGCGCCTGGCGCCCGGCGCCTGACGCTAGCCGAACGCCAAGTGTAGCGCTAATGTTCGCCAGTTGGACTAACATAAATTATGTTTAATCAGCAACAAGCAACAAACAACAAACAACAAAGCACATAACAAACAGGCGCGTTGTAAGTCGCTTAATAGCCAAGCGAACAGCTTTCAGATACAAATGCATCCATCAGATACATCAGCGAACAGCAGGCGCATTAGCTGCAGCAAAGTATCGCCAGCCAGGCTACATTGAGCAAACAAGCGGATTTTACAATTAGCAAGTCAAAGGCGGGTAGAAATAACTACGAAATACCCTGTAAGTGGAGGAGTGACATGTGTTTGTAGAGACGGAGGACTGAAAGGGGAAGAACGAAATGGAGAGTGAGAGAGAGCGGTTGAGGGAAACAGAAATTGAGTGATTGAGTGTGAGAGAGAGAGGGAAGTGTGAGAGAGATGGTGAGAAAAAGAGAGAGAGTGCAGGCTTAAGCTTAGTAGTAAGTTTATCATTGAAGAACTTTCTCATTCGCTTTGAGGTCTCTGATAAGGAGAGAAGGACTCGCCTCGCCACTAATATACTCCATCCTTTTAGTACTTCCACAGGGTATATAGTCGCAGAATCCAAATCGATAATAGCAGATGCATTTTAGATACAGCTATATTACCATGGAAACAATTATTGCTTTGAACATGCCCGCTTCACACTCTGTACAGGGTATATTTCCTTGTAAGACCTGCTGCAACAGCTTGAAATCTGTTTATAATAAGCTCGAAAGCTGCTGCTGCTGACAAAAAAGCACTTAGGATACCCCGCCCGCCGCGTAGAGCTAAATTACCCGATTGGCCACGCCCAATCACGCCCCTTGCTATGGGGTTGGGGGGGCGAGAATGCCACCGAGAGTCTGTTTTGGCAGCCATTCCATATTCATGTTGGACAGGATTAGCAGGGACAGCAGCCTGATTTGTCCGGCGGCTTATCGATCTATGACGACTACCCAAGAAGAAGAAGCCGAAGAAGAACTGCAGCTGAATGTGTGCCTGAAGATGGAGTAGCAAAAAGAGCTGCAGCAGCAGGAGCAGGAGCAGCAGCAGCAGCAGCAGCAGGAGCAGCAGCAGCAACAGCAGCAGGAGTAGAAGCAGCAGCAACAGCAGCAGGAGCAGCAGCAGCAACAGCAGCAACAGCAGCAGCAGCAGCAGCAACAGCAGGAGCAGCAGCAGCAACAGCAGCAACAGCAGCAGCAACAGCAGCAGCAGCAGCAACAGCAGCAGCAGCAGCAACAGCAGCAGCAGCAGCAGCAGCAACAGCAGCAACAGCAGCAGCAGCAGCAACAGCAGCAGGAGCAGCAGCAGGAGCAGGAGCAGCAGCAGCAGCAGCAGGAGCAGCAGGAGCAGGAGCAGCAGCAGCAGCAGCAGCAGGAGCAGGAGCAGGAGCAGCTAACGCATCATGTCAATCAAGCGCAGAGTGAAACACTTTAGCCGCTAGCCAAATAGGAGCGACGATTACGATGGGCAACGCTTAAGGTGGCTGGTGGAAGGAGGAGGAGGCAGGACACTACACTACATAATACTAAGCAGGCAACGAAATGGCCCCGGCTAAGTGGCGAAGCAGTCGCCCGTTATACGCAGCGACAGAGCTGAGGGGCCAAAGTCCCAAACAGAAACAGCCTGAGCAGAATTACGTGCGTGAGTGTGGGCGTGGCAGCTAGTCTTCTTGCTGAAGCAAAGTGCTTACATTTCTCTCTACCTCTCTCCCTCCACCTCCCTCTGTCTCTTGCTTTGTCTAGCGCCAGCATTTCAAGGTCCGCCGCAAAGTATGCAACATTTTTGGCCGGAATGCTGAATATCAGCGTAGGTCCAAGACGTTCCACAACTCCCCAGCATAATGGCGGCTGGCTAGCCAGAGAGCAGCTCCCGGGCATAAGGAGGCACAGCCATAGGGCAGCTCGTAGCCGCTGAAGCATAGGGAATACCAGGAAATTCGTTTTAGTTCAACTTTGAATTTCTATCATAAACGAACATTTTGTTCGATTCTCAGTATTGAATGAATACATTTTCCATTTACAGCACGTGGACTAACAAATCATAGAATGTGGACGGACCGACAGAGAAAGAGAGGTAGTGCGGGGGGAGGGCGGCGATAAAGGCGAAGGAACAATGTATAAAACGTTTCTAAATTTATAAATGTACACAGCTTTTGGCTTAAGCTCAGCTTTAAGATTATGCTGCAAAGCACATTTTGTTGCAGCTAAAGCTTGCAAGAGCTTTTAAGCACATTTAAAGCTTTACGTTACTGTTTATGAATATGATTGTAATTCCATAAACATATAAACTGTCTTTTGATGATTTTCATGAAGTATACGAGCTAAGTACTTCAAAAACCTGATATTAATTTTTGTTTACAAATTGTTTAATCTTAAAGTTCCAAAGCTTTTGTATTAATTGAATTGCGCAAAAGCTTTTTAAAATATTTTTCTTATATTCTGTGTATCGAAAATGTTTAATATGAAAAAAAAACTAGGAGCTTTAAAGCTTATCCTGCTTGATTAAAGCTCATCAAACAAAACCTTAATAAGCAGCTTTATTTGTAGATGAGAATAAATGTTTGCATATGAATATTAATCCAAATGCGTTATGTCCATAGGAAAGCATCGCCAAGACTTTAATTATTTATAAATCTCTTCTCTAATACAATTTCGAGCTTGCTGGGGTCAACTTGGCCAACACTAGACCGCAATAATGCGATTGCTTGTAAGCTATAAGCCAAAGCTCATTAGCTACTATACACTAAATCTGTAACATGGCTCATTAAAGCTTAAACGGACTTCAATTTAAGCTAAATTAAATCTCATATCTATAATCGAACTTGAGCTACTGGACACGGCAGCGGCCCCAAACGCGGCCCCAACCTCTTCCAATTCCATTTCATGCATATTACATATTGCTCAGCTGGTCTCGTTCGCAGTGCTCGCTCCTACTCTCAACACGCGGGTATCTGCTGCAGGAACACAATCAGTTTGTCTTTCAGTTGTCCCCTTAGGGTCGATTTCATGGCGCAATTTATGAAACCCGCTTGGCCTTTTGCCGCGATGCCGCATTTCCTTCTTTTCTCTTCCTCTTTACTTTTTTTCTAGTTTATTTTTTACTTTTTATTTTTGTCTTTTTGTTTTCAATTGCTGTCTCTAGCTTTCTCCCTCTCTCCCTCTCTCTGGTCTATTTGTATACCCTAAACACAGATTGGAAGTCAGGGTATAATGATTTGCTTGTAGTGTAGTGTATGTGGCTTACAAAAGAAGGCGCGGCAAATTGATAAAACCTTCAATTTTGTTTCTATAAATAATCGATATCTACTACTGCCAGAGCCGATAAAAATCGATATGCGCTTGCATATGTATACGGGTGTATATCTCTTATGGCACATGCAACTTCTTTTGTATACCCTGTAATTGAATGCAGCGTATCTGTTAGCCAGACACATACCCATTCTACGCTTCTGTTTTTGTCGTTTTGGGCTTTGGCCGGCGTTATCTCTTGCGTAGATTCCCTGGCAGGCCAAACAGAAATATGAATTTATACCATTTTTTTTTAGTTTGCTTTTAATGTTATTGTTGTTGTTGTTGTTGTTGTTTGCACTCGCAAATTCCTGGAACACGACGTAATTTATAGCTGGGAGTTTTGTGCCAAGGCCTTGCACAAAAGGAACACACAAACCAGAGAAATAGAGAGCGAAAGAGAGAGAGAGAGGGAGCGAGAAGCTACGCAAATTTGGGTTGACAGCTGAGGAGCAAATGGTTAGATGCCGCACAAAAGGAGCGCAGCTAACTTCAGCAAGACGCTCTTAATTACAGCTGATTTATTTATTGCGCATACGCTCCGCATGCAGGTGCAGATGCAGGTGCAGGTGCAGGTGCAGCTGGCGTACAGGTGCCAAAGGCGTCGGCTAATTTACAATGGACAAAGTCACAATAAATTGTCATTAATAGTGCAGCCGGTGGATGAATGCAGCCAGAGCACCAAGAGAACAGCAGGCAGCTGGTTAGCAAGTCGACGAGTCGCTCAAAGTGTAATTAAACCGTAATTGCTGGGAAACCGCAACGTCTGACTAAGCAACCAGTGGCGATGCAAGCGACAGCGCCGCACTAAACTCTATCAAAATAATAAAGTGCAACAATATAAATATTGAGAAACAGCTGCATGTGAATCAGCGCTCTCTCTCTCTCTCTCTCTCTCTCTCTCTCTCTCTCTCTCTCTCTGGGCTCTGCCACAAGGAAAATTATGCAAGCTTGGAGCCAGTGCTGTGAATAACATTGGGGCGGCAGCATGAGCGCGCGTCCGTCCAGCAGCGATGTAGCCGAACACTGCTGTCGCAATGTGCTCATCGAACTGATCAGCACAGAGCAACAATATGTCGAGGATCTGATCATTGGCATCGAGCGCTATAGTCGCATCTTTCAACAGCGATCGTCGTTGCCGTCGGGTCTGGTTGGACAACAGCACGTTCTGCTGTCGAATATTACAGATATTGTGGCACTGCATCGGCACCGCCTTCTGCCGCTGCTGCTGCAGCATCGCCAGCAGCTGGAGCTGCTCTTTGAGCGTTGGTATTCTCTCGTCGAGCGGGATGTCTTCTACTGCTATGTCCTGTTCACGGCTAGCCAGCGCGAAAGTCTGCGTCTATATCACTCCCATGAGCTTTATTTTAGGGTAAGTTCGAGTGGAATAAAATTGCGTGTCTCTATTACTTATCGTTCATCCAATTGGTTGATCTGTGAGCTGAGCGATGAGCCTATCAAACGTGATGAGCAAAGACACTTGAGCGTAAACGGGATGGCAATATAATTGCTGATCAATTCACATTTGGATGTCTGCTTGTTGCTCTCTTGCTTTCGCTTACCTAATGCATAAAGGAGAGAGGAGCACAGAGTGAGGATGAACATATCATGGCTGCCACGTATCCCAGAAAATGCGTGCATAAACGAGATCGCAATAGCGGCAACTGTAAAGCAGAAGATTCTCTTAAATATGGCGAATTCAAAGACACGAAATACCAGCTGCGCTAAGACATAAGTGCGTGAGCGAGATAGCACTAGAATGTTTGATCTAAGCAAATTAAGATAACTGCGCTTACCTCAATGCATAAAGGAGAGAGCAGCAAAGAGCAAGAGCAACGCAATTGATGAATACGTGGCGAGTTTGAGTGCGCGGAAGCGAGACAGCATGACGAAACATTTAGTTGTGTCATTCGCTCTCATTTATTATCGATTGATTCAGCACAAAATTAAAGAGTTTCGTAACAATGGCGTCATCAGGCATCATTGCCATAATAGCTATTTCTGGCCTATGGGAGAGCAAAGCAAAATCAGCCGGCGAATGTAATTGGTGCTTTGCAGCAAAAACATTTTTAATGATTGATGATTTAAAATGGTTGCAGTTGAAATCATTTTCGCTGCACAATGTTGTTGCCAATTGTTTAATTTAAAAATGGTGCTCATTTGAATTCTTGTTCATCAACAGCGTATGCAGCTAACAATGGGAGATCCGCTGGGCTTACGCAGCTTTCTACTGAAGCCTGTGCAGCGTGTGACGAAGTATCCATTGTTACTCAATCGATTCATTCAGGCATTCTTCGAGCATCGCCAGGTGATCTCGAAGCGCATCTTCGAGCTGGCCTGCCGGCTAGAGACGCGACTGCGCGAGCTCTTGGAGCGGGCCAATCAAGCAGACCAGCTCAATGACATCACCAGCTTCAATGCGGTATGTTCAAAGTGTTGAAACACGTTCATCTTGAATGTCTTCAAGCACCTTTTGCAGTCTAGCATACTCAACGAGGGGCGCTTCGTGACGATGGGCGAGTTCCAGCTGATCGATGGCCGACTGCGCCGCTGTTACAGCTGCAAATTGTTTGCATTCACCACCTGCCTCATCTACACGGAGCAGAAGAGCTGCAAACAGGTGCTGCGCGGCACTTTCGTTCTGCCGGATGTTTGCGTTGTGGCCAAGGCGAAGTCCTTTCTGCTGTGCAACAAGCAGCACGAATGTGAGTTCCTTTGCCCGAAGGCCTTGGTTAAAAAATGGGAGGCGATGGTGCGTCATCTACTTGAACAGTTTGTGAGTGTGGCATTTGGCGATGTTGTCGCGACAGCGGAGCAAAGCACGGACAACGCCAGCGGGCAGCAGCAAGCGGTGCAACGCAAGTCCATCAACCGTACCATCTGGTACGCAATGCAGTAACCCAACCCAACCCCACAGAAGCACACATTCCTACCCCACTCCCTCCCGTTCCACGATTGTAATATGTGTTTCACTTGCAACTGAATCAAAACGAATACGAGCTACTGCAACGGCTGCTATGCGGCTCAAAAACCAAACCAAAACAAACAAACGAAGTTTTAATAAAACGTTATCAGAACTGCTGGCATAAATCACTGAGCGATGCACATAACAGTCTTCCGCTGTGCTCTGGGCAAAGGGCTAAAAAAGCAATGAAAATATTAAGCGACAGGTAAAACGGCGCAGAAGAAAGGAAAAAAAACCCTGAACTACGTTATTTGCAGCAAGTCGAACTTCAAATACACTGCAATAGATCGAAGTGCTAAAGTGACTACAGAGGCATTTGATTTCAGGTATTCTAGAAGCCATACGAAGCTAGTAGTATTAGATATATAAGCAAGAAATATTATTGAAATTATTAAGTGATAAGGAATGCAACAGACTTGGCTTAAACAAGTACTTGAAAACCCAATTCCAAACTGGATATAATTGAAAATAATGCTAATTCAGACTCCGAGTACCGAATGATTAGAAGTAATCTATGCAAATTGTGGCTTAACCAAATATTGATGACAATCGATGGGTAATCGATATATATCGACATTTACAAATAACGCTATTCAACTAGCAAACAAAACTAAATCAATTTTGCTGAAAACTGACTCAAACATTTATCATAAGCTGACTGCAATATACCCTGTTTTTTATTTTTCACTTGAGCTTTGCATGTAAATTTCTGTTTTTCTTTTTGTTTTTTTTTGTGTTCTGGCAACTTCTTGAACTGTGCACAAAGTGTTACAGATAGTTGCCATTGCACTGGCTGGCAAATTATATTATATGCTGAGTTCTCGAAGAGTCATTTGAGTTGAGTTGGAAAACCGCAGATGGCACAAACTTTTATTAAGTTCTCCGTTGCGATTGTAGTGCGTGATTGTTGTTTGTGGTTTTTCGTTTTGTGGTTGTTGTGGCTGTTCTGCTTATTGTTGTTGTTCTTGTTGTTGTTGTTGTTGCTGTGCGCAAAATCCATATAATTGAAGGCCTGAAGCTATGACAAACGCACAATGACGCACATTTAATAGGCATGTCTGTGTGTCTGTGTGTGTGTGTGTGTGTGTGCTCATGTCATTTTAGTCGATGAATTGATTTATGTGCTTGTTTGTCAGTTGACCTGCAACTTGTGCATAAATTTCAAATTTCACATTGCTCATACGCCGCGTGCTGCACACCACTAATACACATGTCCGAAAAGTTTCCAGCAAAAACAGCCACAGCAACAACAACAAGTGCATGGAAAAGTGTGTGCACGTGTGTGTGTGTCTGTGTGTGTGTAAAGGCATAAAGGAAATGTGGGCGTGTCTGGGCGCAAGGTGCTGGTTGACATTGCCCTGCAGATTGTTTCGACAAGTTTTCATGTCGCCTGCCATCAAAAACTTTGCCCGGCATCTTCATAAATATTTTGAGTTGTTGTCTAACGATACGCGGCACCAAGCAGCGAGCAGCAAGCGGCAAGGCGATGCAGCAACAACAACTAGGCAAAGTCATGGATGTGGCAGCAGCTGTAAAAGAAGAACTACAACAACAACGAGAAGAAGAAGAAGAAGAAGTAGATGCATGTGAAGAAGAAGAACAAGCATAGAACAAACAACAAGTATGTTCAACTATTTTAAGCGCGCTTAAAAGCCTTGAAACAAAATATATTTCGTTTAGTATTTAGTTCCTGCCAAAAGCAGAGCAAGGCTAAAATCTAGTTAAGAGCGAATGATGGGCATGCAGATGCCCTGTAATATTTGTATAAAAGGAGGTATACTTATCTGTACAGAAAGCCCAGAAGTGTTTCATTTTGAGCAACAAACTTTTAGAAATATATGCACTTCTTTTAGTTAATCATAGTTAGTTAGTTAATTACCTTTCTTAGCCTCTGTTCTACTTCGTTTAGATAACTCTCGTATGCTTGTATATCTGGCCACCGTTGTCATGGCTACAGGGTATACAAATAACTTACAACTTGTGCTTTTTGGGGATTTCCTGTTGGAAAACAGTGTTGGTAACTTTGTCTTAAGTCAGTTCCGGCTCAGCTGAGCTAAAAAAAATGCTAGAGATTTGTGAAAACCTACAACAACATACAGATACAGATACAGATACAGATACAGATACAGATACAGATACAGA